AATATTTAAAGTTGATCTTGCCTTGATACTGGTTGGATAATTTTTAGAAGATTAAGCCAAATCTAACAACTACTTACTTCCAAGATAGCTAGTGCTAAAACATTTGCTAGAAAGGTCTTAGCAATAATATATGGTTATTTTTTAAATGGTATAATGGGAAGCACTTTGTTTAATGAGAGTGTTTTGAGTAGATTCTTGCAGGCATAAAGCTAAGCTTTCAGGAATATTCTGTCCATCAACAGCTTTAAAAGCAATTATTTCCTATGCTAATAGGCTAAAATGAGTATGGTAATAGTGAGTATGCTAAAATGAGTTCAGCTAATTTGCTTAGGAGGTAAAGAGAAAAGACTCAGTGGAGGTTATGCTTTTTTATTTGCCTTTTTCAATTTTTAAATTTAAACTTCACTGCATACTTTTACAATAGACGGTGGCTTCTGTGGCGTCTGTCATTCCTCTGTCCTACAGGGGATCAGTCCTCTCACAGTGTCAGCACTTGCAGTCAGCAGCAGAAACAGCAGCATAGTCCTTTGTCCTGGAAGTTCATCTTCCTTTAGCAGTATATAGCTATTGGTCTAATAAACAATTTTCTTGCAAACCTTCCTACTTAGACTTTTTGATCTATCATGACTGCTACATCATGGAAATTTTTTTGTCATAAAGAACAGTTTCATTTGGCTATAAGCTTTTCTTCCCAAGTGGTAGGGACAGTGGAGTGTGGCTGAGGTTAAGGGAATGCACAACACAAGGAAATTAAGGGGGAAGATGAAGAGAGGAATGGAAAGGGGGAGGTGAGTTCAGGTGAATATGATGAAATACCATTTAGACCAAAAAGCAATAAGCTGTTTCTCTAATGGCCAGAAATATGTGTAGTCTTTTTGGAAACTATCCTGGCCATGTTCTTGGTTTTAGGAGTTACTGGAACCATGATTCCAGCTTTTTATTCCTGTAGGGAGCAATTACATTGCATGTTTGCTCTAGCTGCTTGGAGTGATGCAGTGTCCTTCCTTGTAATGTGTCCTACAGGATAAGTTCTTGATTACTCAGAATCTTTCATCTGTAGGGAAGGGAAAATGTAGGAGGAATGCTGTGTTACTGCTGGTGCCTCCCCTGCACTGCCAGCAAAGTGAGCATTGAGAGTCCCTGGGATCTCCCGACTGGCAATTTTACTGAAGTTTGGGTCTCTGTTCTCTAGAACCAGGCAATACCATGGAGTAATCTACTAATAACAATTATGATGTGCATGTATGTATCACATTACATTGCATATATATGTCACTGCTGTGAACCTGTGGACAAAGAATAAATGGAACCCAGGAACCTGGTGTAAAGCAGCTCTGCTCTACATAGTCACTTAGCCCCAGTCTGGGGGGGAAGGAAGAGGCAGTGGTTTCCTCCAGTACCTTCCCCAAAGGAAGTACCATGTCCACCATTCAAGCAGTGGAGCAGGTTGCCCAGAGCAGTTTCACAGTCTTCATCCTTGGATGTTTACAAGACCCGACTGGATAAAGCTGTGACTAACCTAGTCTGACCTCACAGCTGACTCCACTTTGAGCAGGAGGATGGACTAGAGACCTCCTGAGGTACCTTCCAAGCTAAATTATCCTTTGATCATCTTCTTCCTGGCTGGAAGGAAGAGGCTGTACAATAGCACTAATCCAGCTGGGAGAGGGGAGAGCCAAAGGAATAGGAATAACAGGATATGATCAGGGCACAAGACTAGTATTGCAGACTTACTTTGAAATTGGAGTATTGTGTACACCTGGATTGTGATAGTGCTGTAGCATCAGTATACCGTTCCTCATTTGCATTCAGTTTGGGTGAAGGAACATGGTGGACATGCAAACTTCTCCTTTCCCAGACTGCATTACTCACATGCTCCACAGCAGGGCGCTAGTCTGTGAGATGGTGCAGACTGTATTCCAGTATGCTTAACTACAAATTCTGAGGGGAAAGAGACTTGGTCCTGCCATGGTCCTGTCAGTCCAGTTTTGGGGCTTTGGGCATATTTTTAGTGGGGTGAAGGTTTGTAGCAAGGTCAGCTGGAATTACGGAATCCTGGTAGAATTTTAATCAACCCAAATGGCTTTTAACTGCCTTTGTTCCTTGTTTTTCTTCCTGCCTCTTCTGCATTTGTCCTCATTACAAGACTCCACCACCACCTGCAGATCGCTTTGGCCAGGGCGGCGCAATGGAAGGCCTCGGAGCGATGGGAGGGAACCCACCTGCCTTCAACAGAGGAAATCCAGGGGGTGATTTTGGCCCTAACAAGCGTCGCAGATACTAACAGGATTAAGCTACCCCCTGCACACGCCCCAAAGAGTAAAGGAATCTTGGCAGGCCATACAGGGCTCAACACGGAGCCGGGGGGTGGGGTGGGGGTGGGATGGAGAGGGGTGGGTATTAAAACCAGTTAATTAGGGCCTGTTTTGGTAAAGCCACTCTAGGACAAGGGGAGTGCAGTCTGACTGGTAAAGGTTTTAGAAAATTTCATGTGGTGCATTCCTATAATTTCAATGTGAAAAATGGATTCTGGGAGGCTGCCATGGTTGTTCAGTAACGGTAAAATCTGGCAAGGACCCTAATGCCTTGACCATTCCAGGTTTCCTGTTTGCAGCCAGAGTCCTGAGACTAAACTAGATGAAATTGCAGTATGTCTTGGCATTTTTTTAGTGTAGTGTACCTTGCTTAAGAGGCATGGGGAAGTCTCTGGAGAACTAGGGCAGCATTTGGGTACTTTGCAGCTCCCATGATTCTGTAAATTTATATAGCTCCAAATCATGTAGTGAATTGGGGGAGATTTTATGTTTGTTTCTTTTTTTTTTTTTTTCTCTTTCCTCCTAACTTTGTAGTTATTCTTTTTATCTGGACCATCTGTTTCTTTAAAGTAGTTGACTGTCATGTGCAGCCTGAATGGCTGGGAGGCTCTTGTTTGGATGGATTTTTTGATAACGTGTTGTATCGCTGTTTATTTTTACTGGTAGTAAAGTACAATCTATTGGACAAAGATACTGTATCTCATGCTGAAGATTTAACTGAAACAAATGTTTGTATAATCTTAACCTTGCCTGTCTTTTGTGTAGAAGTACTACAATATTTTTCATTTAGTGTAAACTGTTTGAACACAAGCTGTAATTGTCCCACTAACAAGTTTGAATTTGTTTGATGAATGTTGCAGGAATGCATTATTAAAGTGGATTTTAAGCCTTTTTTTATCTGGTGTGCTGTCTCTTCTGTTTTGGTTTTTTTTGAATAAAAATGCACACATATGGATTGAAGTAAATCAAGCTTCAGATTGTGGTGCAAAACTGTCTTGCATAGCTCTATAAAGAGGGTGTTCAACCCCTGAGAATTTTCTAACAGTTCTCCTTGTCACAGAAGTTTTATTTGTGTGTTGGAATGAGACCTTCAACTTCAGCATTTCAGAACACAGTAAGGGAACTTCTGATGCACCTCACCTAGGATGTGTCTATGTTGTGGATGCAGAGAAGTGAGACCCAAGACTCGTTCATGTGTCACTGGGAGCATAGAGTTCGATTCATGTCTCATTGGCACAGTACAAAGTTGTCTGTCTCTGCCCTGTGTTGCAGTTGCCTCTGGCTGGGATGCAGACCTCCCTGCAGAGCTCTCAACTCCTGTGCTGGGGCAGGAAGTGCAGGACTCGTAACTGTCAATGGCAGCAGTAATGCTTTATCTAGTGTAATACATGAGGGAATCCGTAGGGACAGGAGCCTTCTGTGAGTTGTCTTCTTGCACTAAAGCTTGTGAGTTGAAATTGGGGAGGGGGGAGCAGAGGGGGAAGCTTAGAAGAAATGTAGGTCAGAAAGAGAAAATGTTATGGCCTCAGAGCATAAGGAGCTTCCTTTACAGACTTATGAAATAGTAGAGAAGATGAAAACATTTTCAGATGCCTAGTGTTACCAAGGCAATAACCTTGAAACTTTAGGGTTTGGTCCTGTAGGTATTCTGTAAGCAGGAAAAGATGAAATAATCACTGGAGGTTTTATTGGTTTACCCCTGTTGTTTGATGGCTTATCATCCCATCTCAGGCTAATTATAAACTGTATTGGAGAGATTGCAGTTGATGCTCTTGTTCCTTTTGCTTGTTTTGTTTTCCACATTTGAAAGCATCAGCACTAGTAGCTGGCTTGGTGAGGTGATATGGTATTGAATGGTGATTATCAGGGGGATTATGACTTACCTGTAAGTACAGTATGAAGAGTTCGGTGATGTTTTTCTATCTGGCACGTTTGCAAAATCTCAAGTAAGTTGATGAGAATGCTGATGAGCCTTTCTGTTGCTCTGCAGAGAGGATGCATCTGTTCTTGTGGCTTGTGTCTGGAACATGGCTGGCAGACATTCACTAATGTCATGGTGGTTTAAGTACATCATTTAATTCCAAAGTGTGAAATATTAGGAGAAGAAACTGAAGTTGCACCCAGGTGTCTGTATTGTCTCATTCTCCTTGCTCAGCAAATCGCTGCCTTAGGGAAATGGCAGAGCTCAAATACTGAGCAGTACTCTGCTGCTGCCTGAGTCCTATTCAAGTGTAAGATAAAGATGGGTCTGGTTACTGTGTTTCTCTGGGAGAAAAGGGACATAGTAATAGGGTGTGTAAAATCATGGGGAAGGAGGGATTTAGGACTGCTCAAAGTCCATCTAATAAGACCAGTATAAGGTGAAAATTGAAGATCCCAGTGACAGCAAGGGACGAAAACTAAAATTACACTCTGATGTGAATACTAGAGGTAACTATTCTCATTTGCTTTAAAGGAGGAGATTGAAAACCTACCACTGAGGTTCTAGTAAGGAAATTGTAAAGCAACCCATTACTAAGGTTTTCAGAGGCAACGCAGCAGGAGGAAATGGCACCAGGGACTGCTTGTAGTGCAGAAGCATTTAGGGCTGGGCACAGGAGCAAGCAAGGCTGCCTCACCAGAGCACTTCCAGATGCTGGAGTCTGCTGAAGCACTCTGGGTTTTGTTGTCGGTGCTTACAGTGCTTGAATAAGGTAGCGAGTGCAGCTCCAGAGGCTGGACTCTGCACAAGCACTGTTGTGATGTGCTGGGGTTCAGCCGGTATGCAGAAGGGAATGCTTTCCTCTGCGTGCTTTTCCAGATCGCTGTCTGCTATGTAGTTGCAGACTGATGAAGTATTTTGACTATCATGAAGAGACACCCTTGCCTTTTGCTGTCATATCTGATCAGCTTGCTTAAAATGCACTTGTGCAGTATCAGTTCATATCAGACCAAGGACTGATGAGCAGTCTGGTTCCTATCACTTCGCTTGTGGGCTTATTTGTGGGCTTCAGAAGTTACAACTTGTGCTTTATGCAGCTTCCCCTTAAACAACTGCATTTGCAAGAATCAAATCTGAAAAATCCAACTGGTACCTGGATAATTTTGCCATATCAAAATCACAAAGCAGTAGACAAGCATATAATTTTTTTTTTCTGGCCCAAATGGTGGAATATACTAAACTACTTCTTCAGTGAGCTAACTTTGGGAGCTGAAAGAAAGACGATGTAATTTCCTATGGCCTCGCTGAATTCCCTCTTCTGTCTTGGTCACGGCTCTGGTACCTGCTTGTCTATCTGGTGAGTCACCCGAGTGCCAGAGGTAGCCAAAAGGAGAGGATAAAAGCAGGGGTCTCAGCCAGGCACAACACTGCCTTTGGGACGCTTCCCCTCACTACAGCCTGGCCACTCTGCTCCACCTGAGCTCACAGTGACCATGCTTTAAGGCAACAGGACCCTCCAAAGGAAAAACCTGTAAAACCCCATGCTCCCCACCAGTTCAGGCTATTCCGGGTAGCAGGTTTTTATTATGGATGCCAGCTAATGACAAGAAAATTGATTCTTAGGTCTAGACTGAATTATTTTCTTTTTGGGACTAGTTCCTGTTGAGGACTGAAGTGATACTGCATGCATTTTCAGAGTGAGCACCGGAGTAAATAGGCTCCTTCAACAGCTCAGCTCAGTTCTGAGAAGGTAAAATTATCTCTGGGAGCAAGACACAAACCTGGTCTTTGAGCTGTTACGTACAATCAGTGCAGACTTCTTGGACAACAGCAGGTACATAACCCCTGTGCAGTGCTGTCAGAAGAAGAGTGGCCTGGCAGAACTTCTGCTGTAGAATTGCTCAGCGCATATTCTTACAGGGAAGATTTTATTCCCTAAATAACTAAAACATGAATACTGCCTACTAGCTTTGTGTAACATACATCCTAACCAGCCTTTTGTGTGGAGGAACTACTCCATGCTTTAGAAATGCATTCCCTTCCCGCTACCCCGGGCTCCACACACCATCCTGAACGACCGAAGGGTGGGTCAGGGATGAGGTGGGTTTCTCTCCCCAGAGGTATCCAGCATGTTCTCCCCAGGACTCTGGGCGGTTGTTTTACACTGACTGATTCTTCAAGGGCAAACATAGTAAGCTGGGTTTGAGAATCATTTGGTCCTTTTTTCTACCTCCTTTTTGTTCTGTTATATATCAAATTAAGTGCACATAGAACAAGCTTTATTTTTAATTCTCAGTTGGCCCATTCCTTGCAAGCTGTTTCAAAGGTGTTGGTCATAACTGTCCTTGCTCTGCCAGCTTGCATGGTGACTTCTGCTTTACTTGGAGCTCTGCCCTGAAGGAGGGCTGGACTCAGCAATGCAGCCCTGTGGCCCAGGTGCAACTGCCAGAAGCCACAGCTTCAAACTAGACACTGTGTGATGGATGTGCAGTCCAGCATGCTCTTTGCCATCACCTGAACCTCATCTCCTCTTTTTCCTAATTTTTAAACTCCTGGAGCTTATCTGTGTTTCATGGTGGCTGTCTCGTGTCTGTCTCAGGCTGCACCCCCTCACCTTGTCCTCCCTGGGGAGCCTCCTCGTGGGCTGGGAGCTGTGGACACCCCAATTTACTGTGTCACTGTGCTATGTTCACAGTAGGATCTGTGTTTCAAACCACTTTGTTCCCCGCGGGCATTTGTAGCAGTGCAGCAGAGGAGCAAGGTCAGAGCAGTGCTGTTGCATGCTCTCAGCTGCCTGCTGCTGCTCCTTGGGTGCTAAGGGGGCTCTGCTCTGCTGCAGCCCCCCCCCCAGCTACCTGCTGGTCCCTCTGTGATGAGCCTCAGTGTGTGGGGCAGCCACAGCATCCTCTTGGCACATCCTCCAAGGCATGCGAGGTAACCTGAGCTCCAGATTCTCACTGGCACAGGGATGGTGACAGCTGCAGCCTTGCTGACAGGTCATGGAAAGGACAAAGAAATCTGAAACCCTATAGCTCTGCTCAGTCCCCAGGACCACAAATTCCCCTGTCACAGGGCTCTGCCCGGCTTCCTGGGTCCCAAGTGATCCCTCCAGCCTGAGCAGAGGCTCTGGATGCTACTGTGGGTTTTTTACTCACCTTTGGGACCATTGGGTCATTTGTTGTGTCTTGAGGCACTGTAGTCCTTCAAGGGAGGTGTCAGCTTGAAGCCATGTGTCTCATGCTGGTGTGATGGTTCCCCAGTGCCCTCACATTTCCTTTTTACCTTTTGGGTTGGATGTAGGCTACCCAGGTATAAGGAGGCATGATGGTGATATCTGTCCTCCCCTCCAGCGAGGCCATCTTCCTTGATAATGAGATGACAAGGAAAAGCCCAACATTGCTGCTGGCTGGGGCATCTCAAGGTGGGGATGGCAGAACTGAGCTGGAGATGGAGTAGCAGGGCAGTGTGAAATGAGTCTAGAGTCATCTCCTTGGTGAGCTCCAGAATTCTGGCAAGGGTTCATCCTAACTCTGGACTTTGGAGATCCCCTTGGGGTGGCAGCAGATCCTGCAGGCTGTTGTAGGGGGATTAACTAGGTTAAACAAACTTTGTGGGACAGGTATAGGGTTACGTCAGCCATGGTGGACCGTGTGGGTTCCCCTTCCGAGTGGGCTCCCTGGTCAGCTGCTGCCTGCAGGACCTGCTCCTTGCACTTTCTGATAGTGCCAGGGGTTTATGACAAACCCGGTTCCTGAGCAGAAACACTCTCCAGGTGCTGTGTGCTCCTGCAGGTCAGGGCAGCACCCAGGAAACAGCTGTCTCTGCAAACAGGAACAACAAAAAGAAAATAATATTTGTTTAAGATGCTTGTAGGAACTAAGTAAAACCTTTGCTCTCAAGAGGGTTTCCTGTTTGTAGAGGAAAATCCTTGGGTCCCAGAATGGGATTAGGGAGTCCGAGCAAACCCCTTCTGGGTATGGGGGGCCCACATAACCTTTTGTCCTCTTCTGCGATGACAATGATCTTCCAGGGGACAGGTTTAATCCGATGAGCCTCAGTGTGTGGGTCAGCCACAGCATCCTCTTGGCACATCCTCCAAGGCATGCGAGGTAACCTGAGCTCCAGATTCTCACTGGCACAGGGATGGTGACAGCTGCAGCCTTGCTGACAGGTCATGGAAAGGACAAAGAAATCTGAAACCCTATAGCTCTGCTCAGTCCCCAGGACCACAAATTCCCCTGTCACAGGGCTCTGCCCGGCTTCCTGGGTCCCAAGTGATCCCTCCAGCCTGAGCAGAGGCTCTGGATGCTACTGTGGGTTTTTTACTCACCTTTGGGACCATTGGGTCATTTGTTGTGTCTTGAGGCACTGTAGTCCTTCAAGGGAGGTGTCAGCTTGAAGCCATGTGTCTCATGCTGGTGTGATGGTTCCCCAGTGCCCTCACATTTCCTTTTTACCTTTTGGGTTGGATGTAGGCTACCCAGGTATAAGGAGGCATGATGGTGATATCTGTCCTCCCCTCCAGCGAGGCCATCTTCCTTGATAATGAGATGACAAGGAAAAGCCCAACATTGCTGCTGGCTGGGGCATCTCAAGGTGGGGATGGCAGAACTGAGCTGGAGATGGAGTAGCAGGGCAGTGTGAAATGAGTCTAGAGTCATCTCCTTGGTGAGCTCCAGAATTCTGGCAAGGGTTCATCCTAACTCTGGACTTTGGAGATCCCCTTGGGGTGGCAGCAGATCCTGCAGGCTGTTGTAGGGGGATTAACTAGGTTAAACAAACTTTGTGGGACAGGTATAGGGTTACGTCAGCCATGGTGGACCGTGTGGGTTCCCCTTCCGAGTGGGCTCCCTGGTCAGCTGCTGCCTGCAGGACCTGCTCCTTGCACTTTCTGATAGTGCCAGGGGTTTATGACAAACCCGGTTCCTGAGCAGAAACACTCTCCAGGTGCTGTGTGCTCCTGCAGGTCAGGGCAGCACCCAGGAAACAGCTGTCTCTGCAAACAGGAACAACAAAAAGAAAATAATATTTGTTTAAGATGCTTGTAGGAACTAAGTAAAACCTTTGCTCTCAAGAGGGTTTCCTGTTTGTAGAGGAAAATCCTTGGGTCCCAGAATGGGATTAGGGAGTCCGAGCAAACCCCTTCTGGGTATGGGGGGCCCACATAACCTTTTGTCCTCTTCTGCGATGACAATGATCTTCCAGGGGACAGGTTTAATCCCTGGGTTGCACAAGAACGTGCATCAAAGGATGTCTTGGCCACATGCACTGCTTTGGTCTGCTGGTGCCTCTGTCTAGCAGATGGTCATGCCTTTTGGGTCTGGGGGAGATCAGCACAGGTTTTGCCCTGGGACCCTGGGAAGTCTCTTCCTTTCTTTTGCAGGAAACCTGCAGCTGCTTCTATAAATGCTAAAGAAACTGAGAGCAGTTGGTCAGGAGGAGTCGCAGGTTGCCCCGAGCAGAGTGTGGGCACCCGGGTGTCGCTGATGCCTCCCTACCAGACGGTGGTGGAACGGCAGGCGCTGGGAAGCCCGCTGCGTGCCCCAGGTGCAGAGCCACCTCACAGTGCTATTTCCCTCTGCCGGGCGCAGGGGCAGGACAGAAATGTCTCTCAAGATAATGTGGGCGCTGGGTCCCGTCAGCTGCCGAGCTGCTATGTCCATCTTTAGCCTGCTCTCCAATTACCAGCCACCTCCTCCAGCTGCCTCCAAAGATAGGCAAAGCTACCTCCCGGCGCCTGGGCTAGAAACTGCGGGGAAGCAGAGGAGGGATCACAGGCAGGGGCGAGATTGATGGGATTTTTGTGGAAGGAGTAAAGGACGCTGCAAGTACTCCTGAGCTATGGCACTGCTGTGCTACAACAAGGGCTGCGGACAGAGGTTTGATCCTGAGCACAATGCCAAGGGTAAGTGGGCTCATCTGCCT